AATAATGAAATATGACCAAAATATAAATTAAACAATTTGTTATTTTCAATGACAACCATATCTTAGCAACTCTTATTTATTATGATAATATAWATATATTTACAGCAATATTTTGATATTTATTAAAATAAATAAAAAAATGAAAATAGTTCAAACCTATTTTATTTTGAACAAAACATTTTCTAAAACATTCAATAAAATATATATGGTGTGTATTTTGGTACCATAATAATATTTTATGTGTCTTATTATCCAGCCATAAAATGTACAAGCTTCATCGCTAATGTATTTAGAAGTTAAAATATATTATAAAAACCACTATGTGTAATACACATTGTGTATAATAAAATATATTATTTATAGATTATCTATTATTGGAATATCATATGCAGTTATGCATATTATGCACGTTAAAAGCTATTTCCTACCCTGGTAGGTATATATGTGCAAACAATACAAATTATACCAACTACGCATAGGCGCACATTCAGTCTTAAACTTGGGAGTGCTAAAATCTTTTACCTCAAAGTGACTAGTGGGAGACTTTGCTCTCCACACACCACCTATACGGTTACACTTACTATTTCAAAAAATTACTACATTACTGCATTAAAATTCTCAAATCAATGAATCTGATTTTCAATATATCCTATAACCGATTATTATAACGACCATTATAATATTATTAAATGAACAAGTGTTTGGGGGTGCTAATTTAAGACTTAGGGGTGCTAAGCACCCCCTGGCACCCCCGTATGTGCGCCWATGCAACTACGAAGTATWATCAGCTATAAGTAGTAAGTACTTACTAAAATGTAACAAACATTGTCTTGTATGATATTTATATTGAATATTCAGCATATACATTAAATTAAATGTCAACATCTATTTTCTTTCACTTCAACGATTTTAGGTAAGTACCTAGCATTAATTTTTAAATTATGTCGATTTATTGGTTCATGCATGTACATTAAAATATGATTTTAATTCGATTAAAATAAGTAGAGGTTACACGCAATAAAATTCTGAAACACTATAATTATTACAATTTATTATACTTT